TTAGTAGAAACAGAGTTTCTCCATGTTGGTCAGGCTCATCTCGAACTCCTGACCTCAGGTGATCCGCACACCTTGGCCTCCCAAAGTGCTGTCAGGAGTTTGAGACCAGCTTGGCCAACATGGTGAAATCCCATCTCTACTAAAAACATAAAAATTAGCCAGAAATGGTGGCACACGCCTGTAATCCCAGCTATTTGGGAGGCTGAGGCAAGAGAATTGCTTGAACCCCGGAGGCAGAGGTTGCAGTGAGCTGAGATCATGCCACTGCATTCGGCCTGGGCAACAGAGTGAGACTCTGTCTCAAAACTAAAAAATAATTTTAAAAAATTAAAAATTTTAAGTCCAGTTGCAGTGGCTCACACCTGTAGTCCCAGCACTTTGCGAGGCCAAGGTGGGTGGATCACTTGTGGTCAAGTGTTTGAGACCAGCCTGACCAACATGGTGAAACTCCATCTCTACTAAAAATACAAAATTAACCAGGAGTGATGGTGCACGCCTGTAATCCTAGCTACTTGGGAGACTGAGGCCAGAGAATATCTTGAACCTGGGAGGCGGAGGTTGCAGTGAGCCGAGATCATGCCATTGCGCTCTAGTCTGGGTGATAGAGCAAAACTTCATTTCAAAAAAAAGAAAATTAGCTGGGCATAGTGGTGCTTGCCTGTGGTCCCAGCTCTTTGGGAGGCTGAGACAAGAGGATCATTTGAGTCCAGTATGTTGAGGCTGCAGTGAATCATCAAAGAAGAAGGAGGAAGAGCAGGAGGAGGAGGAGGAGGAGGAGGGAGGAGGGGGAGAAGGAAGGGGGAGAAAAAGAAGGAAGAGGAAGAAGGAGGAGGAGGAGGAGTCTGATGGGACAATGGGGTATGTACACGAGCAGAGGAGATATGAACATATGTCACCCTATTTGCATGTCACATATATGATGCCCCATGAGCACATAATTCCAGTGGGCCCACAATGCATGGGAGTTTAGCAAGACTCAAAGCCAGTACAAGGCTGGGGTGTTATATCTGTGGTTAAATACGTAGAAATGCTTCCAGCCCAGAGGGGTACACTTCCCATTTAAACCAGAACTTACTTCAGATACTAAAAGAAGGCAGTGGTGTTCTAGGAAGCATGACAACTAAGGAACCCTATCCTATCCTTTTTCATTCGAGTTACTTCCCTGGATTAGCCAACCACCTAGGCTGACCGTAATGACCCAGAAGAAAAGGAAAAGATAGAGCAACCCATAATTCCTTTTCTTTTCAGTTCTTTTTTACTCATCAGTAAGCCAAAGGCAGGAAACATTGGTAGAATGTGCACAAATCAAGACATGAGGTAAAACCATTGCGTGAGCTTTGTGCAGCATTTCTACTGTCCTAATAAGCCTGAAATCCTGCATGTATAGAAGCTGTAAAATACAAACTGTGTCATTTCAGTGATTCCACAGAGGGGTCAAGTACTCTTATACTTTCCTTGAAACCTGGCATTGCTGAATATACAGATGAATGGTGAGATGCATGCAAATAATTTAAAATTTTGAGTTTTCTCAGAATGACATTAAATAGCAGAAAGAAAGATTTTATATTTTAGTGGCTTTAACTGTTTTTCTTGCTTTCTGGACAGGGGACCCCATATTTCCATTTTCCACTGGGCCCTGCAAATTATGTAGGCTGCTCTGCTGCTTTTATTATTAATCCTCAGGGGTGAGTGAGTGAGGACTGGGGAAAAGGCAGTAGAATCCTAATAGTCATTAGAGGCTGGTGGGACAGGCATGTTATAGAACCTTTGCATTTGCTTCAGAGATATACCTTGGATTCTATGTCCAAGCATATGGGCCAGCCTAGGGGTGCTCAGGCCTGTCTACCCTCAAGGAAATCACAGCCCAGAAGTGACCTTCACAAAGGCACTTACAGATTTAATGGTCAACCCAAGTCAAAGCTACATATCCCAACTTCCAGGCCCAGGCTCAGTTGATCTGTCACAGACCTGCCCAGGAGAAACAAGGGCTCTGCGTTTTTTTATTTTTCCATCTGACACATGGGGGTGACAACACTATCCTCACCGTGAAGAACAGAGAGGTTGGGGCAGAGTGCCCCAGGCAGGACCTAGCACAGAGCAGTGTGCAACACGTATGCAACAAGGAGAATAGTTTTAAGATATCACTGTTTTCTTTTTCACACTCTCCAATATGAGAACTTCTCCCTCTTCCCTGAATCTGTATTTATCTCAGGAAGCGAGGAATTGATCTAAGTGCTGTGCAAAGAAAAAAGCAAAATACTCTGTTTCAGCATCCGACTTCCAAACTTGGATTTTTGAACTCCATAGAAATAACTGTAGAAAGCAGGGTTTGTTATGAGAGAGAAATCTGTAAATTCCTAGATCACTCCTTCAGACATCAAGGGCTAAACCCAGCCACCAGACAGCAAAAGCACATCAGCCCCTGAGGACAGCCATCTCTATTTCATTTGCTGACAAATCCCCAGAGCCAAGAACTGGTTTGACCCTAGTGGGTGCTCCTTTTTTTCTGTGAGAAGGAGAAAAGTGGTGTAATCCACAGTTAGACAGTCAGATACAAGGGAATCTGATAGTCCTGTCTGGAGAGAATTTCTCTCTGAAGATGAAGCTGTTATAGAAATCCTCCTCTGGCAACAGAGAACAAGAAGAGCAGGGCAAAGGACTGCTGGGGGCCCTCACTCATCAGGGAAGAGGGCTTGGGGCACCCCCAGCAGGAAACTTGCTCACCAGTTCCTGCTCTGGGCCAGGCAGTCCTGTGGCTGCACAGCTGCCCATGCTGCTCCTCACATGGATGGGGGCCCTGTCCTGGAATGGCCCTGGTGGGTAGAGGGATTCGCTGCTCCAGACCTGCAGCATGGACACCAGAGAATGCAACTCGTTTGCTGCATGCACCGGGGACTAGGGAGGCACTGCAGGAGCCAGCTGGGTCAGATACCAAGGTGAGGAACAAAGAGAGAAGCTTCAAAGCTTGAGATGAACTGCTGCATGTGCATTTTAGAGGTAGTTCTTTTGCCCCTTCCCTTCACCGAGGTTGCATGGGACAGGCTCTCCTACTCCTAACCCCTGAGGAAGTACATGGGCATGATCAGAGGCTGGGTCTGTCCTTGATGCCCACAGGACACTTGCCCTGGGGCAGGCTCTTGATTCTGTTGTGTCACAAAATCCTTTCGCATCCTGGTAAGGTCCATAGACCCCTTTTCATTTTTATTTATTTATTTGAGACAGAGTCTCACTCTGTCACCCAGGCACTACTGGAGTGCAGCAGTGCGATCTCAGCTCACTGCAACTTCTGCCTCCTGGGTCAAGTGATTCCCCTGCCTCAGCTTCCTGAGTGGCTGGGATTACAGACACATGCCACTGCACCCAGATAATTTTTGTATTTTTAGTAGAGACAGGATTTCACCATGTTGGCCAGACTGGTCTCGAACTCCCGAGCCCAGCTGATCCACCTGCCTTGGCCTCCCAAAGTGCTGGGATTACAGACGTGAGCCACTGCGCCTGGCCACAGACCCCTTTTCGGAACATAGACTTTAAATCCATAACACACTAGGATTACAAAGGAAAGCAGTGATCCTGAACTAGGAATCAAAATCACTTTAAATATCTTTCATATAATGACAAAATATGCTTCCTAATTAAATAACAAGATCTCATGGCAGATCTCTATTACAATTTTAAAGTTGTAATAACATAAATGATATTTTGAGACATTCCCAATGGTTTAATTGGGGAGTAAAATATCTGTGATTTTTGCTGGGACAAAAATCACGTCTTTGCTTACATTCATGATTGAAGGAAATGCTA